AGGGCCCCCCCCCCTGGAACTCCCGGGGGGGGGCAAGAGGACTACTGCCCCCCCCCTATGTACGCCACTGACAGTAATAAATGACATAGGGAACAATTCAGCAGTTTGCATAAGAAAAAGGTAAATTAGTCAGAGACTTTTCCATGTGTTTTGCGAATGGATAAAAATTATTATTTGATTTACACAACGATTCAATAACAGACCTTTAAAATTACACAATAAGAAGATGAAAAAAACAAAACAAAGCAGGAGAGCAGAAAACAGAAAATAGGGCGATTCGCCAGAAATTGACCGTTATTATCTCGTTTGTGGAATGTTTATAAGAGATATTTTAAAACCGGATAATTTAATTATGTGAAGACTGTTACATGAGAATTTTTACTATTTATTCTGAGATCAATGTATCGACGTAAGCGAAGTTTTTTGACTCTTGCTGATACATAAGATAGAATTCTTACTATTCTGAGATCAATGTATTGAGTTTGACGTAAGCGTAGTTTTTGACTTTTGCTGATCCATAAGATAATTTTAAGAATAAGACAAAAGTTATCTACTGTTTAAAGTATTTAGAGTAATTAGGATATCCAATTTAGGATATTAGACTTCAGGTATTGTAGTTAGATCAATTAGTCAAGGTTTTGGAACTTAAATATTTAAGACTTTTTTAATTTCTTATTGGCTGTAGCCGGAATTTTCTATTTCAAAAACAAAAGTTTGTAGGTTCAACACCCAATTAAACCCCCAAAAATTTCAATTTGTATATAGCGCTTCACTATAATAATAAAGAAAAGAGGAAAAATATGACGGCGTTTCACCAAAAATTGAGGAAAAATTAGAAATAAAACGGCACTTCACCAAAATATTAAAAAATATACTTTTTAGAACTACGGAATTTCAACCTGTGTATGTTAATTTGTAGAGTGTTACGAAAATGGTGCTATGAAAACCGAGCTAGCCGAATCGAACCTATATGTGTTCCGACCTAAATAGGATGCTATATCGTTGCACTAATTTCCGATTTTACTAACGTACATTTGCACTAAAGTCAGCTGATCAGAAACAGGTTTGCATTACGATTGAGCATTAGTACAAATGAACACAAATCGAGAAAATTTACGTGCAGTTCATCGACTAAATTTTTATTTTCCCGCCATGGGAATATTTAGTACAAATTATCATTTGTGTAATTGATCTGGAATACTTGATATATTTGTTCAAACGAACATATAATTTTTTCTTCTTCTTCCCAATAACGCGTACATAAAAAAATACTATAAAATCTCACATTTGCCCTTAACTAAAAAAGTTTCATTAAAAAAGCTTTATAATCAATCTTTGATATTATTTATAATTTTTCAATGTATCACAATATGTATCGTTTCTATGAAAATATAGATATTTTTAAAAAAAACGTTTCTATCTCTAATTGTTAACCCATTGAAGCTTACAACCACAGTATTAAGAGGAAGTGTCTGATGAGTCCACTTAAGAAAATTACATAAATATTAACACAATTGTTATATGGAAGTGGCATGAGTGGTATATGATCGAATAGTTTACACTTTACATTTTTGAAAAAAGGGGGTTTTTACGGGGGGGAGGCACAAAAAATCCCCCCACCCTACACAAATGCTCTCGTACGCCCCTGNTTTTGATTTTTCTGTTACAACTTTGCTATCTTGCAGCTCCTTTAGTTTTGATTTTTCTGTTACAACTTTGCTATCTTGCAGCTCCTTTAGTTTTGATTTTTCTGTTACAACTTTGCTATCTTGCAGCTCCTTTAGTTTTGATTTTTCTGTTACAACTTTGCTATCTTGCAGCTCCTTTAGTTTTGATTTTTCTGTTACAACTTTGCTATCTTGCAGCTCCTTTAGTTTTGATTTTTCTGTTACAACTTTGCTATCTTGCAGCTCCTTTAGTTTTGATTTTTCTGTTACAACTTTGCTATCTTGCAGCTCCTTTAGTTTTGATTTTTCTGTTACAACTTTGCTATCTTGCAGCTCCTTTAGTTTTGATTTTTCTGTTACAACTTTGCTATCTTGCAGCTCCTTTAGTTTTGATTTTTCTGTTACAACTTTGCTATCTTGCAGCTCCTTTAGTTTTGATTTTTCTGTTACAACTTTGCTATCTTGCAGCTCCTTTAGTTTTGATTTTTCTGTTACAACTTTGCTATCTTGCAGCTCCTTTAGTTTTGATTTTTCTGTTACAACTTTGCTATCTTGCAGCTCCTTTAGTTTTGATTTTTCTGTTACAACTTTGCTATCTTGCAGCTCCTTTAGTTTTGATTTTTCTGTTACAACTTTGCTATCTTGCAGCTCCTTTAGTTTTGATTTTTCTGTTACAACTTTGCTATCTTGCAGCTCCTTTAGTTTTGATTTTTCTGTTACAACTTTGCTATCTTGCAGCTCCTTTAGTTTTGATTTTTCTGTTACAACTTTGCTATCTTGTAGCTACTTTAGTTTTGATTTTTCTGTTACAACTTTGCTATCTTGCAGCTCGTTTAGTTTGGATTTTACTGGTACGAATTTGAGACCCCTGAAACTCTCCTGTATGGTGTTTTTTGATATTTTTTGAAAATTTGTAATTTTTTGGTACTCCAATGGCCCAAAAAAATCCGCGAACCTTTTTTTTCTTTCAAATCAAAAGTTCAGAAAAATCTAAAATTTTAAAAAGATTGAATCACAGAATCTGAGAAAGTTTGCAAAATTGTAATAAGCAAATTTGCAATTTTCAGTTCTGGTATAATTTTTACGGAAAAATTGTTTTTCAATGGTTCTTAAGGTTTCGACTGAACAGCGTATATTTAATAATTTATAATATATACTAAGAAGAAAGGAACTAGAGAATTTAAATAACTTTTCATTCAAAATTAGACCAGAACTAAAAATTGCGAATTTTCTTTATACAATCTAGCGAATTTTCTGTGATTTTTTTTATACAATCTTAAAAAAATTTAGATTTAGATAGAAATAATTTATATACACATTTTTTGCTTTTCTCAACTTATGATTTTGAGAGAAAAAAATAGGTTCGCGGATTTTCTTTTGGGCCATTGGAGTACCAAAAAATTACAAATTTTCAAAAAAATATTGAAAAAACACCATACATTGAGAGTTTCATAAAAAAAGTACAATTTTTCACCAGGCGCCGCAAATCACATTTTTTTTGACTCACCCTTTACTTTACGTGTCTGTTTGTTTGTGTGTGTCCAATAAACGTCAAAACGGTTGAACGAGACCCCAGGGAAGGTTTCTGATGATTGAATTTTAAAAAATTTCCTTCTAACAAAATTAGATTTATGATAATTTTGAAAATCCACGAAATTTTTTTTGTTAAAAAATGAAATAGAAGATGAGCGCAAAGCACACTACAAGCTATTAGTGATGAATATTCTTCAAAACAATGCAACTAAGTTCCCAGGAAACAGGTCATCGCGGATTTTTCATATTGGTGGATTTGCTATTCTATAAGCTGTTTAAAAAGCCCATGGACAACCTTCAGGGTATAAATTAAGTAAGGTGAAAGCTGAAAGGTGGTAGAAGCCTTTTATTTGATAGAGTTTGTTAATCCCAGAAATTATTGAGAAATTGAAATGAAACCCAGCTAAACCCCATATTTGATATACATCATGAATGGGGTTGTACCTAGGCGTTACATGCGTTACAGTGATATAGTTGAGATCATTTAAGTTTGAAACATTTAAATCATGTGCATTTTATATACTTGGGAATGCGGAAAAATCATTTTCAGCGTTCTCAACGTCTCATTTAAAACGTTTTTACCTCGATAAATTCTTAGACATACGTGTAAATTAGGGGGGTTTATGAGTGTAATTACTAATTACCCTCCAAATTAGTTTATTACCAGAACTGCTGCCTTTAATTTGGCTAAAATTTTATGAAATCTAGATACTGGCATGGCATAGAAAATTGTTATGTTTAACATTACATTTTTTTTTTTTTTTTTTGGCAAACTACATAACAGACATAAAAGCAACCTTACATTTCTAGTCACTTTAATATCATTAACAAATTGATACCGAGGGGGGGGGGTTGCCGCCCTGAATAATCACATGGGGGAATCCCCCCGGCCCTTAGGGCGGCCCTGTAAAAATTGTTCAGAGGTGCACTTTTTCTTTTGAATAGATATATATGAAACTAAGAAAAATCCAAAATATTTTTTATTTTTGACCATTTTTTCCGGTGCCGTCGGAAAAAACCTGATTTTTTTGCCATTTTTGAACTTTATTGATTTTATTTCTCAAAACTTTTATAAAATTCAAAGTTTTTGACTGAGAATAATGTTTTATATCATTTTGGAAATCCCAGATAATGGTCTAAAAGATAAAACCAACTTTTACTGAATATTTTGGAAAATCGTAGTTTTATAAGCAGTTATAGCCCCAAAATCATCGATTTTATTGATGCGCACTTGCAGCTCACTAACATACCCTGAGAACTGAACAAAAAAAAATAATTTTTATTTTCATTTTCTATATTTTGTACTTATTCTAAAATGTCATAACTTTTTGAAATACCTTCAAAAATGGCCGATTAATGAACAGTTCAAAAAACTCCGTTTTTTCAAAATATTCAGTATAAGTTGGTTTTATCTTTTGGACCATTATCTGTGATTTCCAAAATGATATAAAACATTATTCTCAGTCAAAAACTTTGGATTTTATAAAAGTTTTAAGAAATAAAATCAATAAAGTTAAAAAATGGCCAAAAAATCACGTGGTCAAAAATAAAAAAATATTTTGGATTTTTCTTAGTTTCATATATATCTATTCAAAAGAAAAAGTGCACCTCTGAACAATTTTTACAGGGCCGCCCTACCGGCCCTGTCGATGCACCTGTCTATTCGGAAACTTCAGCAATAGCAACTGGCAAACGGTTAATTAAAAAATTGAAATCAAACCTAGCTTAAACCCGTAATCTGATTTGGGATGGGGGGGGGGGGGTTAAATGCGAAATAGCTATTGACCCTTACAGCCGCTGCCCGCATGGTAAAGGATTCTGCGTAATTAAATGTTGACCAAAAATCTACCAATCATCCCAGTTTTTCAATTGTGCCGAAACCATCAAGAAGAGAGGATATTTTACTCTAAATATGAACGTCGAGATTTCAAAAATTCCAATAACACTTCGAGACTACTTTTTCCACGACCCATTCTTCAAGGCGAACTGGCACAAGTTCGACGAGCTGAAGGAGAGCGTGGTCAAGGTGTCGAAGGAAGTCTTGAACAAGTTTCGAGGATTTTTCCGAAACCTAGCCTACATGCCGTTTCTAGGATATAACAAGGAGGAGGGCGAGGTGGAGATCCTTCATTTTCCGCGCAAATGGATGCTGCCCTCCCTCCCGGAGTTGCAGGATAACAAGGATGCACTAGAGATCTATAGAGACCTGGATAACGAGCTCATTAGGTTCAAGGAGACCAAGGACGAACTGGAAATCACCCTCGACACGCATATTTTCAAACCGGACGAGATCTGTGTAACTGTGGAAGACGGACGAATAGTTGTTGTCGGATACCATAAAGACGAGATGGACGACGGAAAGCGTTCAACGATCCGTCAGTTTCGACGTAAGTATGTTCTGCCGGCCGGGTTGGACCAGAAGGATGTGATATCAAACCTATCCAAGGATGGAGTGCTGGTGATTATAGCTCGGAGAGGTGTAGGGAGTAAACCCGTCCTAGAGGCACTAGATGCTGACGATTGGGTTTACACAGGATACATGTAGATTCAACAAAATGCATATTTACAAACCGCTACTATACATATCTATATATATTTTTGTGATTTTGCTCAAAATTGTTGATCAATAAAATCTCACATGTATTATTGTTAGTTATTGCCTTTCACTTTAAACCTATCAATGGCCATGGCATAAAATATCTAAATTTAGTTCTAAATATTTTTCCATTATTCGATAAAAAAAAATGTTCATTTCAAATTCTAATTCTAACATAATTTTGAAAAACTATAGTTAGTTTAGTGAATTTTAAGGTTGAAATATAAGAGATAATCTATAGATTGAAGAGTAAAAACTATAGTTAGTTTAGTGAATTTTAAGGTTGAAATATAAGAGATAATCTATAGATTGAAGAGTAAAAACTATAGTTAGTTTAGTGAATTTTAAGGTTGAAATATCAGAGATAATCTATAGATTGAAGAGTAAAAACTATAGTTAGTTTAGTGAATTTTAAGGTTGAAATATCAGAGATAATCTATAGATTGAAGAGTAAAAAAGTTTAAAGCATTGCAAAATCATTTATTTTATTTTGTGTTCAATTTAAGTAATAAAAGTCCACATTATAAAAAATTCTAGGGTAATGTGGGTTTATCAATTGTTTTTTAGTATTTTAATATTTAGTTTGTATATGTCAGATTTAGCGGCCAAACAGCCGGTAACTTCGGTGACATTTATTGATGGAACCCTTGAGTACCCCTAGGGTAACGAAGGCAAAAAAATCGAATTTTTTCTTTAACATTTTTTTTTTAATTCCACGAGCACTTCAGTTAGTTCTTATTATCATTATGAAGAATTATGTTCTCCGAGGTAGTACCATGTTAACCAACAAATTAACTATTTCTATTTATTAAGACTTTTTTCAGGTTATAGACGGACAGAATTGGCTAGTATAAAATCATGATAAAAACAATTGATCTCATAATAAGCAATAAAACAACGGTTTTGTCCCATTTATTGGATAAATACTTGATAACAATCTATTTAATAACTATTGTAAACATATAATTTTATCCTATCGTAGAAATGTTTAACAAAATTATCAGTTGAAATTCAAAGCGTACGATTGTGCGTATCTTGTTCATATTATACATTCATCACAGTTATAGTCACAGAGGGGGTGGGACCATATAATAATTTTCAGTTTTGTCCAAAATACTATTTACAAAACATGACCTCAACACGTAGACATTTGCTTCATTTAATAGCACTAAATTCATGTTAAATCTAATTGAGAAAATATTTAGTAATTTCTTGGTGTTAACAAATTATTTGTCAAAAAATATTAACTAAAATTTCTACCCTTTATCTTTTTATGGCTAAATGGACTGTCAAGATAATTTTGAGTATATCTCTGTTTAATGATTTCGTTAACACTCCCTTTAAATTAATGAAAATTCACAAGTTACATGAGGAAAGTGATGGGGCATATGTTTACAATCAATAAAAGTAGACTAAAGGAACGAGAGATAGGGGTAAATACTTAATCAATATTTCTAAACAATTGCTGTCTTTGATCGCAATTATTGTTTTGACCTTGCAGCCCCTAACCGTCATTATAAAATGTGTACACACTAAACCTATCCCTCTTTCCTTCGTTATATAATTCTCCTTGTTTACAACAACAGTACAATGTTTAGGAATATATGGTACATTAATGAACTTGATTAATGATCGTCTTGACAAAATATTAAATAAAAACTGGAATTGGAATGTTTTGATATTTGCTCAACCAGTACAATCATGAGGCTTTATCTTGCACGGTTTCGGTACATCAAGACTATACAATCTTAGTAAAATATCTTTCATGTTTTGATATTTGCTCAACCAGTACAGTCATGAGGCTTTATCTTGCACGGTTTCGGTACATCAAGACTATACATTCTTAGTAAAATATCTTTCATGGCTAATAGGGTAATTATGTTTCATGATCTTACATGGGTTAAATGAGATTGGAGATTGGGAATAAGATAAGTCTTTGAAGTTTACAATAATTATCAAAAAATGCCATAGATTTAGGATTTTCAAGCAGCAGTCATTATAAAATGTATTGGTACAAAAAATATCATCTTTTCCGTGTAAACTTATTAAATCGCATATTTCAATGAATTGATTTAATTTTTTTTCACTGGAATTGTCCTTGAAATTAGAACAATTATCTTTACAGCGTATTAATGTTCGTAAAATTAACAATATTAAATTTGAAAAATGTACATGTTGTATTTAGTATTAAAAGATGAATTTAAGAGAAAAGATAAAGAATTTACAATATTAAAAATTGAGGAAATTTTGATTTTCTAAATTAAGTTTATCGTGTAACAAATTTTGTGCTTAGTATGAGTATTTTATTCTGGAGTTAAAGTCATATTTAGTCTGAAAATGAACATTTTTATCCCGATCATCTTTAAGTTCATAATTTTTATCCAACACGAGATTGGTGAACAATTATTCATGTTCTCTTTACATGCATGAAAACACAGATGAGGCTTTTAAAATAAATTTTTTTTTTAAATCCAACGTGATTAAGATACATTGATTCTAGGTCATCTGGACAACAGTTTCACAACTTCTTCATCCTCAGTATCTTTCTCATCACTCTTATCCTCCTTAACCTCTTTCTCTTCCTTCTCCACTCCATCGCCTTTCTCATTCTCAAAAGTCTTCACGTCAACAGATTCGGCGACTGGCTGGGCAATCGCAGGCAGTGGCGGTGCGGAACCGGTTTCTTCGTCTTCCGGCTGAACCGCTTCCTCTGGCTTCTTTCCGGCATTGGTGCCTTCAATGGCTTCCCTTAGTTCCTTGAGACCAACAACACCGATTAGTCGACCGATGGCCGTGACGTAGGCGATATTGACACCAAGCATACTGAACAACGAGTGAACCTAGAACAAGTTTTAATCAAATATAACTTAATTCCTTTCTATTTTAAAGACGAAAGCAGTGTTTTTTTGGCAGAAGAGCACACGTTCAACATCAGTTTCTCATTAGAAACAATTTTTATTTTAAATCACACAAACTTGTGAAATCATTTATTTCTTTATACTATCAAATCTTAATTTTAGTTTTTTTTTGATTTTTTTTGTAATTGGTTTCAGACCTAAATGCCTTTTAATCTTAAAATATAATTTCCTCCTGAACCCTATCTGTATCCAAAATCCCTATCTTTACCCTGAACCCTATATATATCCTGAAACCTGTCAGTACTCTGAACCCTATCTATATCCTGAATTCTATTTGTACTCTGAATCCTATCTATATCCTGAACCCTATCTGTATCCTGAACCATATCTGTATCCTGAATCCTATCTATATCCTGAATCCTATCTGTACTCTGAACCCTATCTGTATACTATATTCTGATTCCAGACCTCTATCTGTATCCTGAATCATATCTGTATTCTTGGAATCCTATCTGCATCCTGAATTCTATCTGTACTCTGAATCCTATCTGTATCCTGAATCCTATCTGTATTCTGAATCCTAACTGTTCTCTGAAACCTATCTGTATCCTGAAACCTGTCTGTAATCTGAATTCATTCTGTATCCTGAAACCTGTCTGTAATCTGAATTCATTCTGTATCCTGAAACCTATCTGTACTCTGAAACCTATCTGTACTCTGAAACCTATCTGTATCCTGAAACCTATCTGCATCCTGAATTCTATCTGTACTCTGAATCCTATCTGTATCCTGAATTCTATCTGTATTCTGAATCCTAACTGTTTTCTGAAACCTATCTGTATCCTGAAACCTATCTGTACCCTGAAACCTATCTGTACTCTGAATCCGAACTGTTTTCTGAATCCTAACTGTTTTCTGAAACCTATCTGTATCCTGAAACCTATCTGTATCCTGAAACCTATTTGTATCCTGAATCCTACCTGTATCCTGAAACCTGTCTGTAATCTGAATTCATTCTGTATCCTGAAACCTATCTGTACCCTGAAACCTATCTGTATCCTGAAACCTATCTGTATCCTGAAACCTATCTGTATCCTGAAACCTATCTGTACTCTGAATCCGAACTGTTTTCTGAATCCTAACTGTTTTCTGAAACCTATCTGTATCCTGAATCCTACCTGTATCCTGAAACCTATCTGTACTCTTAATCCCGTCTGTATCCTCAACCCTGTCTGTACTCTGACCCCTATCCAAAACCGAAATCCTATCTATTTCTTGAACCCTTTCTATAATCCTGAACCCAATTCTGTATCCTGAATTCTATCTGTACTCTGAACCCTATCTGTATCTATCTATATCCTGAACACTATCTCTAAACTCTGAACCCTTTTCTGTATCCTGAATCCTAGATGAACTTGAACCCTATCTGTATCTGTATCTGTATCTGTATCCTTGATACTATCTGAATTTGTGCTCTGAATCCTACCTTGAGTAGATTACTCTTCTCCACGAGCTGGAATGGAGCTGGATCAATCCTGATCTCGGCAAAGTTGACCGGTTTTTCCATCTCCTGCTTTTCCCACTCCCTCTGCTCCTCCAGGGTCAGATCAGGCCGGGAAACAGTCTAAAAATACGGTTTTAACATATAAGCTCCAGGGTCAGGCCAGGCCGGGAAACAGTCTAAAAAACGGGTTTAACATAAAAGCTCCAGAGTCAGGTCAGGCCGGGAAACAGTCTAAAAAAACGGTTTTAATATAAAAGCTGGAAACTTTATATTGAGTTAACTCTTTCTCTCATCAAAAAGTTTTTGACCAGAGAAATGTGACGTCAACTAAATTTGTTAAAGAGGAGAGAATGTTATTTTTAACTGACACATTCCATTCAACAGTTTTCAAGTTTTTTCATAATTTGTTCACCCCTTCAAACGTACAATTCATAGTAGATTCTTAAAACCCAAATATTGAAAATTGCAAAACACAAAAAAACAAAATTTGGACTACTTGTAAATGCATAATGTACATGTATTGTACAATGTTTAAAAATTCTGGTGAAGATCAAGAAATTCATTTTTAAATTTACAAACCAAGATGGTTTTTAACTATCGAAACAAAGCTTACCCTTTTCCCCTCCAGGTTGTACTGGAAATCAAAACTACGGTTGCTGCCCATTGGCCCACCTCGCCTAGATTTATTTTAGTAAAATGACTGTGCACAACATTTCAATTATAAACAACTTTTTTAAAGTAAAGATTATAAAATTTTACATTATCAAGTGTTTACAAAACCGATGTTTTGTAAACAAAATGGGTCGAGGGAACCCGAGATTTAGTAATGTATCTTTAATGTTATTTTTCTAAGTATATTTCAAATATGGTTTGAATTTTTATACCGAAGCATCTGTTGCATAGTTGTTACAGTGTTTCTCCATCTTTCAGCTCCGGATACAGTCTATAATGAAAACATGAAAACATGAAAACATAAAAACATGAAAACATGAAAGCATGAAAGCATGAGAGCATGAATGCATGAATGCATGAATAGATGAATAGGTGAATAGGTAATAAATGAATAAATGAATAAATGAATAAATGAATAAATAAATAAATAAATGAATAAATGAATAAATGAATGAATAAATGAATGAATAAATGAATAGGTGAAAAAAATGAATGAATGAATAAATGAAAGGATGAATAGATGAATAAAAGGATGAATAAATGAATGAATGAACCTCGTATGGAGAGTAGAAGGGTGAATGCGAGCGACCAACTCCATGAATTGTCAAATTGTTCGCTTCGTTTGTTTTCTTTAAAATGGATTTCCGTGGCATCGTACTCAGCATTGCTAGCGCCTAGAATCAAACAAATTTGTTACTTTATTTTATTTTAATACATATATCTAAATTCACTAGAGTTTTCAAACCGATATAGTTTTCTGTACTTCTTTCTATCATTAAAAATAAAGATAAGGATTTCAATAATATATTTTGAGCAAAATATTAAGAGCTACATCAAGGTTTACCTTGAAAGCTAGAGAATCTATATCAAGGTTTATCTTTAGAGCAGGAGAATCTATATCAAGGTTAACCTTGAGAGCATGAGAATCTATATCAAGGTTAACCTTTAGAGCAGGAGAATCTATATCAAGGTTTACCTTTAAAGCAGGAGAATCTATAAATCAAGGTTTACCTTGTGAGCAAGAGAACCTTTATCAATGTTTATTGTTTACCTTGAGAGCAGGAGAATCTATAACAAGGTTTCCTTTGAGAACAGGAGAACCTATACCAAGGTTTACCTTGAAAGCAGGAGAACCTATATCAAGGTTCACATTGAGAGCAGGAGAATCTATATCAAGGTTCACCTTGAGAGCAGGAGAATCTATATCAAGATTTACTTTGTGAGCAGGAGAACCTATATCAATGTTTACCTTTAGAGAAGGAGAATCTATATCAAGGTTTCCTCTGAGAGCAGGAGAATCTATATCAAGGTTTACCTTAAGAGCAGGAGAACCTATATCAAGGTTCACATTGAGAGCAGGAGAACCTATATCAAGATTTACTTTGTGAGCAGGAGAACCTTTATCAATGTTTACCTTTAGAGCAGGAGAATCTATATCAAGGTTCACATTGAGAGCACAAGAATCTTTATCAAGATTTTCCTTGAGAGCAAGAGAACCTTTATATCAAGATTTACCTAAATCATGTTTACCTTGAGCAGGAGAACCTATATCAAGGTTTACCTTAAGAGTAGGAGAATCTATATATCAAGGTTTACCTTAAGAGCAGGAGAATCTATGTCAAGGTTAAGCTTCTCCAAGTTGTCTTCAGCATTGACGGTGGAGACAGCAAACCTAGGATTAGGATCAGATTTAGTTTTTCTTGGAAAAAAAAAGAAAAAAGTAATAAAAAAATTTACCTGCTTGGTCTCCGTCCTTTGGGAGTTGTATTCACAATTTCGGCCTCCTGAAAAAGATTTGAACAATGAGTTTTAGACATGTATCTATTACGATCGAAACCTTAAAAAAATGTGGATCCACGGATCCAAACACAGCTAGGTTGCAAAATAAAGACCAATATGTGCAAAAAAGGGTTTTATCCTTAACAAATCTTATGTCACCTAAAGAGAAATAATTAAAACATTTCTGAGGCCGAATTTGAGCCGCGGCTTGAATTTGATATGGTTAGATCCATTTAAAATTTTATTCAATGTTTCAAGAATCAAGCCGGCACTCAATTGAAACCGGTTTTTGGCGGATTTGAGACGCGGCTCAAATTCATTAAATTCGGACTCTGATCTCCAAATGGTAAATCAGGTCAGGTAAATCAGCGAACCAAAGAAAAAAACATTTCGGAAATTTTTATATATAAAATATTACATAAAAAGCAATTGTTCAATACTATTTCAAGTACAACGGGACACATAAAACTTTGGAAAAGGAAGACGACATTCAATTCATCAATTGCTCTTAAATCAACTAATTAAATACGAAATTTCTGTGTTTCGAGTTGAAAACAACTGAAAATCATAACTTGAGTCTGAACAGGAGACTTATTCTTTCACAGTTTTCAGGGTCCTAAGGTGGCATTTTTTGAGGAAAAATTAGCCCTGAAATGTTTTCCTTCTGATTGCACATCAGCAATTGTGTAAATACATCAATATCTATCCATACATTATTCAAGTAAATTTGCAATTTTTAAAACAAACAAATTTGTTTGTTTTGCTTAGCTTTGAGATAAGATGCAATAAGTAAATACTGTTTTGAGCTTCTCTACACACTTATTATCTCTAGAATTTTCAGGAGGGAGGGGGAGGGGGGAGGAGATAAAAGTAAAAGTTGGGATAATTGAAGTCAAGGTTCCAGGAATAGTATACATTCATTAACTTCATCTTTTTAATCCATAAAGATATATCAAATCAAAAACAAACAGTGTAGCAATAATTTTTAAGTTTAAAACATTAAATCACGTACTGTAAGTTACCAGAATATGTTTACTCGCTGTTTGGTACAACAGATTACAGGAGATTAAACTCCGATCTAGACCAAAGGAAATGGTAAAACTTTTGCGGTATTACTTTAACAACTTTACGATAGCTCTTTAGAAAAATGATTTAATATGATTTAAAACATGCACGATTTAATTTAAATGTTAATTATAGTAAATATGCAGTTGAGACCATAAGAATTTGACTTGGTAGTTTGTTTGTGACCACGTTACCACTAGAAGAGTAATATCAATTACGCTGGAACTCTACGTACACATCTATGACTCAAAGAACTACTCAGCAACGAGCAATAAAGAAAACATTTAATCCCTGTTTACCTTCTCTGTATCATCATCATCAGATTCATTTTCTAGAGCCAACAATCTTCTTGCTTCCTCCTCTCTTCTCTCCCTCTCCTCTCTCTGTCTTCTCTTAATCTCACTTTTCCGTCGCTTTGAGGCCTCTTCTAACCTCCTTAACAAAATATTTAGTTTATCAAATTGAAAGGACTGCTGTTTTATTTCTTAGGGACCCTTAAATTCTAAGTGATCAATAATAATAAAGTTAAAACATTTATCTTAGAATTACGTTGTAGATCAAATAGATTATCAAGATGGAAACGAGAATCATGCACTTTATGTCTAAATTAATCTTACATCGACATTAAATATTACTAAATAATCTTGACGTTAAGTACAACTGTACTGATTGTATCCATATTATCTAATACCACCTGCTTTAATTGATAAATCTATTTGCAAGGCATAGATGCTGAAGAAAAAGAAATTGTTCAGATACGAACCTTTCTTTAGAAATATGCAACTCTATCGCGGAGATGAGTTCATGCCTCTGGACTGAACCCAGGAGGATCATCTGCTTTGCGTTGTCCACCAGGGGGAACCCCTTCAGCTTCCTCCCCTCGGTCAATATACGCTTCAGCTCACTGTACTTCATACCGTACCAGATGTACATAACATCCTAAATAATAAAATATTCAGCTCACTGTCCTTCATACCGAACCAGATGTACATAATATCCTAGATAATACAATATTCAGCTCACTGTACTTCATACCGTACCAGATGTACATAATATCCTAAATAATACAATATTCAGTTCACTTTACTTCATACCGTACCAGATGTACAAACTATCCTAGATAATAAAATATTCAGCTCACTGTACAGCATACAGTACCAGATGTACATAATATTCTAGATAATACAATATTTAGCTCACTGTACAGCATACCGTACCAGATGTACATAATATCCTAGATAATACAGTATTTAGCGCAATATACTTCATATACCGTACCAGATGTACATAATATCCTAGTTAATACAATATTCAGCACATTGTACAGCATACCGTACCAGATGTAAATAATATCCTAGATAATACAATATTCAGCTCACTGTACAGCATACCGTACCAGATGTACATAATATCCTAGTTAATACAATATTCAGCACATTGTAAAGCATACCGTACCAGATGTACATAATATCCTAGATAATACATTATTCAGCTCTCATTGCTAAATCCCCATAAGAAGTAAAATTAATGAAGGGGGGGGGGCGCCTCTGCCAATCGCTTATTATATCTTATTATCCAAAGGATCTCATTCACTTCTCTTAGGACTGCAAAAGTGGTTTCCAAGTGAGCCTCCATTTAAAAAGTTCTATGCCAGATTCACAACAGGACTCTTAAATAAGTTTAAACCTTTTCAGAAAAAAGAAAGATATGTCCATAATTTGGCAGGGTCACTTGAAATTATGTTGACAGTGTCTTCAAAGTGGAAAAGCTAAAAATTGTTTGGAACTTTTTACTTCAATGTCCCCAACCCGCCCAACAAATCACCGATTGTTTTTGATAAATTCTAACCTTCACCATGAAGTTCTCGACAAATACATCGTAAGCTCCTGAGCTGCTGGGAATAATATCAGGAAGATAAGGAAGCTTCTTGATCTTGATAATACTGTCGTAGCAGCTCAACTCCAGGTTCTTGGCAACAAATACCGCTATTATCACAGCTATGAGTACAGGGACGCAATGCGTCACCTGACCGGTCATCTCAAACACAATGACGCTGATGGATATAGTTTGCGTCACAGCACCGCTGAATGCGGCGGCTCCGACGGTTGCGTAACCGCCAGGAATGATCTGACTTATTTGAGATCCGTATCTTATTCCCTCGGGGAACCAAACGTGCATCCCCTCCCCTATTAGGCGACCAAAAGCAGCTCCAATCTTAAAAAAGGAAAAGTTAAAATTAAAATGTGGTTTAGAAACGAGAAAAGTGAGGAAGGACTAATCAGCTATAGGAAAAATGTACTATATCTTGAAGGATGGTTTAAGTACTCAAGTAGGTACAGTGTACTATATCATGAAGGATTGCTTGAGTACTCCAGTAGGTACTAGGAGTGGACTGTACCTTGAAGGTTGGCATACGTACTCCAGTAGGTACTGTGCACTATACCTTGAAGTATGGTTTAAGAACCCCAGTAGGTATTATGTACTATACCTTGAAGAATGGAATATGTACTCCCGTAGATACTGGGAGTGTACTGTACCTTGAAGGTTGGCATACGTACTTCAGTAGGTACTTTGTACTATACCTTAGGGATGGTTTAAGTACCCCCATAGGTATTGTGTACTATACTTTAAAGGATGGAATAAGTACTCCAGTAGGTACTGGGAGTGTACTGTACCTTGCAGGTTGGCAAAAGTACTCCAGTAGGTACTATGTACTATACCTTAAAGGATGGTTTAAGTATCCCAGTAGGAATTATGTACTAAACCTTGAAGGATGGAACAAGTACTTCAGTAGGTCCTGTGTACTATAACTTGAAGGATGGTTTAAGTATCCCAGTAGGTGTATGTACTATACCTTAAAGGATGGAATAATAACTCCAGTAGGTACTGGGAGTGAACTGTACCTTGAAGTATGGCTTAAGTACTCCAGTAGGTACTGGGAATGAACTGTACCTTGAAGTATGGCATAAGTACTCCAGTAGGTACTGTGTACTTTACCTAGAAGGATGGTTTAAGAACCCCAGTAGGTATTATGTACTATACCTTGAAGGATGGCATAAGTACTCCCGTAGGTACTGAGAGTGTACTGTACCTTGAAGGTTGGCATACGTACTCCAGTAGGTACTTTGTACTATACCTTGAAGTATGGAATAAGTACTCCAGTAGGTACTGGGAGTGAACTGTACCTTGAAGTATGGCATAAGTACTCCAGTAGGTACTGTGTACTTTACCTAGAAGGATGGTTTAAGAACCCCAGTAGGTATTATGTACTATACCTTGAAGGATGGTTTAAGAACCCCAGTAGGTACTATGTACTATACCTTGAAGGATGGTATAAGTACTCCAGTAGGTACTGGAAGAGTACTGGCAAGGATGGAGAGGAAGAACGTAGAAAGAATGTACACGGAAAGATTTACAAAAATACTCTAAACCAAATAATCTTTCATCTTGTGAACGTTTGAAAATAGAAAATTCGTGAGAGATATGTTTTAAAAGACAAACGGAAAATTTGATTATTCTCGTGGCATTACTAACATTCCTCTTAAATACTTAAGTACATTTCTTGCGTAGCTTTTTTGTAAAACTTTCTTCTGCAAATATTTTACATTTACTATAGATTCTACGATCTTTATAAGAGTTACAAATTATATATATGTCAACGTTTAGACTAGTAACTCCATATTTTAGTTCGATTGATTATACAATTACAAAAAAATATTTTTGATCTTTAAAGCTTTTGAGATGATGAAAAGATTCCTGGGTGTATGGATCCATCCAGTGTTTAACATGATCATACTCATCCACAGTCATCTCATCCAGGCTCTAGCAGACAACAGTTCAAAACTCATCCAACAAGGGAAATACAAATAATTTCAAAACAGTACCTTTAAAAACTTTTTCTGATTAATCATATTCATTCATTTTCAATTCTACTTATACAAACAAACCCACAATAAAATATAAAATGTGTTTAGCTAGAAGAATGAGGATATCTCAGTCATCTATAATCAGATAAAGAGCTAAAGGGTATGTTACTCTGACACTTCGGTCTTTAAATTTTTTTAACTTAACAACGTTTTGTGTTGCACCGTTGTCTCATCATTAAATACTTGACATATGGGTATGGTATATGGGTACGATATATGGGTATGATATATGGGTATGGTATATGGGTATGGTATATGGGTATGGTATATGGGTATGGTATACCCAATAAACCATAATGAACACTTGTTTTACGCGGGCTGATCTTGCTTACTTTTTTCCCATAATCTTAGCTATTGAGTTTAGATAGACAATAAAAATAATTTTTGTCGGACGCATTTGTGTTGATTTGCTAAAGACTTTAAGAAAATGAAACTCTCAGACCCAATTGAGTTGTGTCCTCTGAGGTATGTTACTGAGGGTATGTAAATCGGACCACACTTAAAATTACGGTCTCTTTATCAAATTTATGCATCTTAAAATAAATTAAACTATGCACATTGCACATTTTAAATTGAAAACTGAGATTTATTTTAGAAAAACCTAATTGAAAAATTCCAAACCTAAATTAAAATCTTAACACGGAATATCAATTCTTAATGTAATTTACCATGTATATGCTAAAAAAAAACATAAAATGCAGGAATTATCCACAAATTCTCAATATGCTTTATCAAAATAATTTTAAAAATTAATTTTTGGCTTAACATGAAATGGAGTGTTCATAAGGAAATAAGGCAATATTTTTAACACTTCTTCCATGTTCAATGTTCATCCTTAATACATCAGACTGTCTATATCATGTAATTTGTATAGATCAAATCAAATCAAATCAAATCAAATCAAATCTAATCTAATCTAATCTAATCTAATCTAATCTAATCTAATCTAATCTAATCTAATCTAATCTAATCTAATCTAATCTAATCTAATCTAATCTAATCTAATCTAATCTAATCTAATCTAATCTAATCTAATCTAATCTAATCTAATCTAATCTAATCTAATCTAATCTAATCTAATCTAATCAAACCAAACCAAACCAAACCGAACCAAACCAAACCAAACCAAACCAAACCAAATAAAATCAAGTCAAATGAAGAAGCTAGGAATTGTACAGGAGCTCCCTAAATTAAAAATGGTTTATGTATTATATTTTTAAAAATATGTTAAAGAACTGTTTCTGTTCCTTGGTCCAGGTATAGTTGGAGAAAAGAATTTCTATTTGCTGATGAGTCGTGATGTCAGCCGCCTGAACAAATACACCTATTGTTATTCAATTTTCTTAGATGGAAATTTTTGAATGAGAAACAAGGTAAACTATGAAGATATGGTTTTACATGGTAGGCGAATATAAAAATACAATGAAGACGACTTTTTAATTTATGTTTTGATGTTAACAAGCTTTTTCGAATTTCAAGTTTATGATTAATCAAAGAAAAGCTTTTTTAACTGATAGCTTCTCTTGACTTCCATGTTTATGTGTATTCAGTTTAACAGATTGATTTAAATAAAAATAAAAATCTAAATAGTACTTCTCAGTAGAAGCGCATTAGTTTGATCCAAGGAATGTATAGTACCTGAAAGAGTCCTGGACCAGCTGGAAAGGTCAGACAAGAAATGAAGAATGAAATGAAGAAAGGATAAATAAACCGGTTTTTCTGCAGAAACTTGGTCAGGCGCTTGTTCCCTCGCATCCACAGTACGTAGTGCCGATGTATGTACACGTAGGTAGCGCCACCTATAAGCAATCATTAAAAAACCTTTCCATTTAAAGGGATTTCAGTTGACATTTCATCTGTATTTCATTCTATTTTAAATCCACTTCAGAAAGACATGAATTAAGAAATTCAAATAATTATTATAATCAAATTTTCAACTTAATTAAAATAAGAGAAAGACTGGATTTTAAAAATTTATCTGATGGGGGGGGATGGGGGGGGGGGGGGCGAAGAATTTGTTGATGTCACTAATCGGAGACATATATTTTCTAGAATTGTCAACAGCATAAATTCAGAGATTTCAAACAAATTAGAGATTTTAATCTAACCTAAAGTTCAATGAAGAAAGTTCACAAGACTGTTTAGAAACAAAGATGACGTCATATTAGATTTTTATTAAATCGATTTAAATCACAAAAACTTAAATTTAAATAATCAAATTTCAATTCACAATAATCGTGGATATTGGATAACAAAACAGGTTTAAAAAAATCATAAACACTAAAATTAGGATTGAAAGTATTTCAATCCTAATTTCATTTATAATTATAAAACCATTGAAATATTTCTTAACTAATAATATCAAAAGTAAAAGAATGCATCTTTTATTTTTATCTTCCTCATAGCTGAAAATATATCCTAATTTTGCATTTGATCACGTGATTTCAATATATAATATAATAGCAGTGCCTGGGGTTGCCCGGGATTTAAATTAAAAATTGAATATAAAAAATTTAAATCTACCCCGGGTACCCATGAATTTCCTCAACATTTTTAGCAAATACGGTCCAGTCGTCTGGCCAGCTATTGCTCACATATATACGTACAAATATTGATATATATGAGCGAAGAGCTTTATTATAGATATTATATTCTACCTACTCCACAGCAGACCCCTATGAGGGCAAATATGATAAGCTCTTGTGGATCGTAGGGGAAGTCCATCCGAAACCCAGTTCTTGAAAAAAAAAAATTGAAATACATAAAACTATCAGGACGAGAAAAACTAATAAATTCTTAAACTTCATAACTTCTTCCTCCTCGACTTTCTAAAATCCAAACTTCAAAACCTTGAAAACTCCGGACTTCCAACTTTCACACCTTCCACTTTTAAAAGTTCTTCTTTATACCAAAACTTCTCGACCGAAAACTATCCAAAGACCCCCAACATCCCAAACTTCAAGATCTCCATACCCCCGTACTACCCGCCCACTACACACACTAACACGGGCAGCCAGCCGTAGTACATTTGAATTTCCGAGCCGTGTCAACCTTTCCAGTGACAGTTTGTACTGTACCTAGCTCTATGAACAGGATAAACCGGTGCCACAAGGTTGACGCGGTCAGACTTAATGCTTCATATTGGTTGCATTTACTTCTACTATTTGGGCAGATGTGAGTGTAAAAGTGATGTACATAGACATAGTTTACCTGAAAACTGCTACAAATGTATCTTCATATCCAAACCAGATCGACAATAATCTAAAACAAATAATATTTAGGAATTCAGTAGAAAATTTTCTGTTTTAAAAATTATTTTATGGGATTTGGTAACTTTTAGATTAGATAATAGAATATACTAGCTGAAGGGCTCGGCCTTTCCCGTGGATAAAAAATCAAATTTTGTAGCCTAAACACCCGGCCCCCGGCCATCCATGAGTGTCCACAAGAAATTTCAGCCCATTCGGTTCAGCCGTTTGGCCGGCAACATACATATATACGTTTCATATGTTTTATTATATAGATATTTTTTAATGTAATGTTTATTATAATAAAAGGTGAGGAATTAGATAAAAAACACTAAAAAATACAAAATTGTGATAAAAAACTGAAGGCCATAAAATAAAAATGTTCTCAAAACAATCAATTTTATGAATATGTAATTAATGAGAACCTGAAGATGACAGCTCCGCAAACAGCGGCGAAGAAACCTCTCCAGTAATTTCTGACAGCAAAGTAAACTGTAGTTACCTAAACAAACAGTAATAATAATAATAATAATAATAATAATAATAATAATATCTAGCTGATGTGCCCGGCAATGCCCGTGGAAAAAAAATTTGAAAAAATAATTGAAAAAAATCTTTTTTTTTAATCCTATGTTACCCACGGATTATAACTGGATGCATAATATTATTAATATTATTAATAATAATAATTAAATTTTCATATTTTTGATTTGAATTAGCAGAACCGTCAAGATTTTTCATTAATATATTATTTACAAGTATAATAAATTGAAAAACTATGTAAACACAATAAATCCACCCCACGGGCCACGGATGTGTTGGATAATTATTAGAATTTCCCACATTCCCGGATACGAGGGGGGGGGGGCTTTCAGATGAACATTTCTTACAATGGGAATCTAGGACACATTTAAGATATAGAGATCTGGCTTTGCCCGCACAATTTATTGCGTATTCTAACGCTGAGCATATCGGAGGTAGTTCAGGTAAAGCGGATATGCATCCAGGGAATCCAGGTGTTATTTTTTGATGATAAATTTTTTCTTAAATTTTTTGTTGAGATTTTAAGAAAAAATTGTTTACTTCAGTTTTCAGATATTCACTACAAAAGTAAGAATGAGAAAAATATATTTAAGAACTAATCATTGAAAATAAATTTAAATAATAATGATAAAACTGATAATTATAATGATAATAGTAATATATCAAATAACAGTTTAACAACACAAAAGGAAAATAATTTTTAAAAAAATCCCACCAATTTAAAAGTGCATCTCTGATCAAAGCTTTCACCCCTGTGCAGTGTACAGTGCAGAGAATGCATTTCTTTAGGTGTTGACTGCTTATTGCTATGCAGGCCGCAGGGTGAATATTTAGGGGGGAGATTTTGTTGTTTTCAATGTGCAATGAATTCACCAAGTTTATTCTGCATGATAAAAAGTTTTGCACTAAACTCTGTTTTCTTTTTAAAGGGAGTGTTTGTGAAAAATTAAAGGGGGGTCAGGTTAAATCCTAAAAAATTTGGATTCGATCGGGTATACAGGAGAACATTTTTGAAAACACTTGATGCCCAAGAGCATAGAGCCCATTTATATTCACTCAGTTGCGTTATTTCACTCGATTTGTAGCGATCGAATCCAACTTTTTATTAGCCTGATACCCCTTAAATTTTTCGCGAACACTTCCTTTAAAGAAACTGATATCTCGTTTCAAACTCTTAATTCTCTTATATCGGATAGACAAAGCTTGAAATATTAAAGGTTTACACTATCAGGTTGCAATGATGTAGGGATTATAAAATTAGAGTCTAAGGACAATAGTTTCTTTGTTTGAAAACTAACGGCCAGATGTTAAAATTCTCCGTATTATTTTGAGAATCAAGATCAGTCATGCTAATTAAACTTAACAGTTGAAAAGTGCACACAATCCTACACTTTCAGGAGGAAAACAGGGTCATTAAAAAAAAGAAATAATTTCAATTTCGTTTTTAAAAGTTTTACTACAGGGTGTCCAAACAAACATAAGACTTGAGGGACGAATTTTAATTCGTCGTTTGATGTCAACGTTTTACTATTCCTGGGATTTCCCAAATGTGGTCTGTTGTAAAGCCCACACTATACTAATACATAGCCAATTATAAGAAAAGAGTAAAGACCACAATTCAATTTTTTTTTCATTATTCATACTAATATCGTAGTACTCAAACGTCAAAAATTCGTCATTTTAAGAATTAAAAATACACCATGTTATATAATGTATTTACTATAGCTATGGGAACCCAGCTTTGCATGCAAACTAAACTTTCTCTAAAAAATCAAACAACACTTAACCTAAAATTTTAAACACAGGATAAAAGAACATTCCCGTGATTCAACCGATTTCCCCAATCATAATGTAAGGCAAATCAGTCAAGGGGTTTCTGAGTTACGATTACAAATACAAACAAATAAACAAACAAACAAACAAACAAACAAACAAACAAACAAACAAACAAACAAACAAACAAACAAAGAGAGATTACTACTTAATATTTTTTATGATCCTACCTCTATACTAAAAAGTACTCCGCCTATAGGAGATCCAAAGCAGCAAGCCACACCCACTGCACAAGCTGCAGCTAACATCTCGTTGTTTCTGGACTCATTCCCATATATACCCTAAAACATTCCCATATATACCCTGCAAACATTCCCGCATATACCCTGCAAACATTTCCATATATACCCTGCAAACAGTCCCATATATACCCTGCAAACATTTCCATATATACCATGAAAACATTCCCATATATATACCCTGCAAAAATTTCCATATATACCCTGCAAACATTCCCATATATACTCTGCAAACAGTCCCATATATATACCCAGCAAACATTCCCATATATACCCTGCAAACATTCCCATATATACCCTGCAAACATTTCCATATAAACCCTGCAAACAATCCTATTTATACCCTGAAAACATTCCCATATGTACCCTGCAAACAGTCCCATATTTATACCCTGCAAACATTCCCATATATACCCTGCAAACAGTCCCATATATATACCCTGTAAACATTCCCGTATATACCCTGCAAACAGTCCCATATATATACCCTGCAAACATTCCCATATATACCCTGCAAACATTCCCATATATACCCTGCAAACATTCCCATATATACCCTGCAAACATTCTTATGTATGCCCTTCGAACATTCCTATATATACCCTGCAAACATTCCCATATATACCCTGCAAACATTCTTATATATGCCCTACGAACATTCCTATATATACCCTTCGAACATTCCTATATATACCCTTCAAACATTCCCATATATACCCTGCAAACAATCCTATTTATACCCTTCAAACATTCCTATATATATATATAAACCCTTCAAACATTCCTATTTATACCCTGCTAACATTCCCATATTTACCCTTCAAACATTCCCATGTATACACTGCTAAACATTCATGATATCTATAAAATAAACGGCGATGTTTACAAAACTGACATGTATGACATTGATGAGAAGAAAGAAAATTAATGACAGCAATGCCAGAAAGAACAGGGTAAATGACAAAATCATAACTCAAGACAAAGGAATGATGGATATTTTGTTAAACATCAGTTAACTTTGAAACTACCGTTAGAGAGGAAGGGGTTATACCTGGAACGAGGATAGTTTGGCTAGCAGAGCAGCTACAATACTGGCGATATGAACGAAAGGTCCTTCTTTCCCTAATGGCATCCCTGAACCCAGTGTTGCAGTCAGACCGACAGTTTTGGCAATGAACGTTCTAAACAATAGAAAATAATTATTTGTATTTATATTTTAAAAACAATTTTGAATTTTTTGTTGCATGACTAGACTATGTCTAAAAGGGATGAGTAAATAAATAGCACTACAATTGTTGAAAAAAGTCGTAACTCAAATTTAAAAAGCATCCAAAAACAAATTTCCTTTAAAACTTAAACAGAATTAAAAAATATTGGTTGTACAATCTGAAGGCTTTTGCAATACACACATCTAACTAAGTGCATCTTTTTAATAATACATTTAATATCAAAGCTATCATTTCTTCATGTTAAAATTAAGATCAATCAACATGTTCACATTGAAGTGAATTGTCATGCAATTAGATAAGAGTTGGTTCGATCTGGTTTCGGGGAATAGGATTCACTGGTTTTCCAGCTTCAGGTTTAAATAATATTTTCCAGGCTATTTTACGACCAGGTATAGAGGCTGAATAAGTTTTTACAATTTTCACAAAACATATTGATGTAGAATTTATTAGTTTAACTAGATTTATTTAAAGGAATTTTCAACATATTTCAAATATCCTTCCTTCAAAGATTTACAAAAACTATCTACTAAAACTAAAACTATCTGAGTAACAAAGTGATTAATTTTAGAGATTTTCTTTCTTGTCTTTGTTGAGGTTTTTTTTGATAAAGTTTAAATTAAGTTCAGTTTTTTTGATTTGTGAAATAAACCAAGAGAATTGATCAACTCTAAATAACGGTTTTAGTTGAATTCAAATCTGAGACGGGTGGCTTTTGTGAAATATTAGAAGTGCCCGGTGTTGCCAGTGGTATTTTTAAAATTGATAAAACTCTTCAGAAAACGACCCTCTGTGTCAAGGTTAATTTGAGTGATACACCAGAGTCCGATTTTAATGAATTTGAGCCGTTTCTCAAATCCGCGAAAAACCGGTTTCAATTGAGGGCCGACTTAAATCTGGAAACATTGAATACAATTTTAAGTGGAACCAACCATATTTGAGCCGCGTCTCAAATTTAAGCCACGGCTTAATTCTTTAAATTCGGCCTCAGCTACAAAGCGTCCCATTTCATATTGAATTATATTATCTGATTATTTTTGAAAATCACAATTTAAAGCCATGAACAATCCGAAATGATGTGGGATACCCTGTATCATTCAAATAATCATGTGGGGAAAAGGTAGCATTACTTGAATTACTTAAGGTTTGCCGGCTATAGATTATATATATATATATATATATATATATTTCGTGGCTTCGTGTTTTGCTTAAGAATGATCGGTCAAAGCGTATTTAAGGAGCTGAATAGGTCATGGGTCAACTCAACCGAATAATTTCACAATTCTTCAAATATTTTAACTTCAAGATCAGTCTTAGAAAGTTCAAAGAGAGACTGAGAGGGACTGTTTGTCAAATATTAATTTTAAACACGACAATGCGAGACACCAACGTGCACTCCAGGTCGCCCTTTTATGATAAAAAGTTTATGATTTTCTACTTCCTTTATATTTAGCAGACCTGTAATATTTCAAACTATGAGTTCGGTTGGGAAATAATAGAATAAGTTTGAAATTTCAATGTTTACATTATCAGGTTTCAAAGAAATAGGGATTAGAAAATTAGAGCTTGCGGCGAGTGTTCAGTTCTCTTTCTGGCATAAATTGGTCAGCTTGACTAGATAAATACAGGGAGAATTCTGCAGTTGGATTCTTTAATTTTCCCCTAAATCTTAACATTAGAAATATCATCTTTATATGTATTTAGGCTTATCCGTCTGCTTATTTGTCTGCATGTATTCAATAAACGTTAAAACAGATCTGGACCACATATTTTGTAGCATCTCAGATGACCACCGAAGATTATTCAATTGAATGGTCAAAATTTTGTCTAAAAAATTTGTTTCCAGAAAAAAGTCTTGTTTTATCAAAATTCTGATTTAAAAAATGATTTTCAACAAAATAAAAAACTATCGTATTTCAAAAGAAAAGACAGCTGGTCTATTATAAAATATGAGAACACCCAAACAGAACTTAAAATAGGCGCAAAAATAGTAAATTATGTTCTTGTTTTGACAATTGAAATAGAAAAATAGAAAATGTAAAGTGATGACATTGTATTTTCAATATTTTGTCAAAATAATGACATCTATTAGCTTATGATGAGGGGGAAAGAAGTCAGCTATTATCCCCAGAACTTTGAATTTACTATTTTCTCTTTTTAGTTGTTAACACCTTTCATGGAGGTGTTAACAAATAAAATATGAATCTAAACAATAGTTTAAGTCTCTGTATTCTGTATTCTGTATTCTGTATTCTGTATTCTGTACTCTGTATTCTTATTCTGTATTCTGTATTCTGTATTCTGTATTCTGTATTCTGTATTCTGTATTCTGTATTCTGTATTCTGTATTCTGTATTTCTGCATTCTGTATTCTGTATTCTATCTTAAAGTCTCGAAGTCTTTATGTCAACAGTCTAGATATAAATATAGTCTTTACACTGAGAGCAAAAAAAATTCCTTCCCTCAAACTCATAATTTTACCACCTGTTGTCATAGACCCTGGATATTTCAATCCATGAATTTTACTAGACCTTGCTTTCAAATACTAAAGGTTTACACCATCATCAGGTTGAACAGATATTAAAAATTTAGAGCTTTGTGTCAGGGTTTCTCAAGAAATAAATTTTTATATTAAAATTATTTTCAAGACTTTAAGAAAAAAGGAAAATTGAAGATCAACGTTTTTTCCATCACTTATAATCTACAGAAAAAAAGGTTTTTAAGAGGGGGAAGAGTGGGATGTGATTTTTTGAAGAAAGTTTTTAAAAAAACGTTTTAAAGCAACCATTGTACTGGATATTAGCATAATGTTCTTTATCTAACCTAAAAGTGAGATATTCCTTCAGAACCACACCTCTTAGAATAGTTTTCATTTCAGGTATACCAGAACCAATTGCCTGAAATATTATATCAGATTAGATTTCAGGTATACCAGAACCAGTTGCCTGAAATAGTTTATCAGATTAGATTTTAGGTATACCAGAATCAATTCCCTGAAATAGTGTATCAGATTAGATTTCAGGTATACCAGAACCAATTCCCTGAAATAGTCTATCAAATTAGATTTCAGTTATACCAGAACCAGTTGCCTGAAATAGTTTATCAGATTAGATTTCAGGTATACCAGAACCAATTCCCTGAAATAGTCTATCAGATTAGATTTCAGGTATACCAGAACCAATTCCCTGAAATAGTCTATCAGATTAGATTTCAGGTATACCAGAACCAATTCCCTGAAATAGTCTATCAGATTAGATTTCAGGTATACCAGAACCAATTCCCTGAAATAGTCTATCAGATTAGATTTCAGGTATACCAGAACCAATTCCCTGAAATAGTCTATCAGATTAGATTTCAGGTATACCAGAACCAATTCCCTGAAATAGTCTATCAGATTAGATTTCAGGTATACCAGAACCAATTCCCTGAAATAGTCTATCAGATTAGATTTCAGGTATACCAGAACCAATTCCCTGAAATAGTCTATCAGATTAGATTTCAGGTATACCAGAACCAATTCCCTGAAATAGTCTATCAAATTAGATTTCAGTTATACCAGAACCAGTTGCCTGAAATAGTTTATCAGATTAGATTTCAGGTATACAAGAATTACTTGAGGTGAAACACCTTTATGTACCTGAGATGAAACTACTTTATATACCTGAGATAAAACTACTTTATGTACATGAGGTAAAACTTCTTTGTATACAAAAGGTGAAACTAACTGCTTTATGTACATGAGGAACTACTTTATGTACACGAGTTGAAACTACTTTATGTACCTGAGGAGCAACTACATGTACGAATCCAGCACTAAACAAAACTAGGAAAACAGGTAACGAAGTCCAGGCTAGAAACTGGAGTCCAATATGTGAAACTAAATCTTTCACAAGCCACAGCCGGGCCTAAATATTAAAATATTAAACAGAATTTCTGTATTTTTAAAGGGACTGTCGTGTTATTTAAAGTAACTTATCATTTAACGAGAAGCATATCTAATTCACAACTGTAGCCTTGAAATGTATAACGTGATTTTTCTCTCGAGAAATGTGTTTAATTCTAATAATTCCTACAGAGATGGCCTGCAGCATAAATGCGCAAGTTACTTTTATAAAGACCCCACAGTTGAAAAAATAAGGTTTCAAAATAATAAACGTGGAAAGTGGATATCCAATCATACTTGATTAGACCAAGTTATTAAGGGAATGCCACTCATATACATAAATAGAATGTCATTTAAAGCTTTGTCTGCACACCCATTAAACAACTTAGTTTTGATATCTCAATTGTTAAATGTAAAATGCTTCTGATGAGTTTTTATTTATCTTTTTAGGCTAAAACTAATCCCTGTATCATTGCAGCCTGATGGTGTACATCTTTTGATACTTTAAATATTGACTATTATATCCAGCAGAACTTAGAGTTTAAAGAATCAAAGAACTACGACATCAGGTTGCAAATATACAATGATTTGAAAATTAAAGTTTGAGAGAAGTGATCGGTTCATTTGCAGTTACTAAATCTATCAGATTTTGCAAGAAATGGAACAGCGAAAGTTTTTTTTTTATAAAATCTGAACAGCATCGCAAACTATTTGCTTTACTTAAGTCATGTTTTTTGAAAATCAAAAAATATTAATTCCATAAATTATTTCAATATTAAAGAATAATTTATATAACAGCGTTTTTAATTTTATCAAAGGCTTATGACACGTAATTAGAGATTGATTAGTTCTTATCAAAGGTTTATGATACGTAATTAGAGATTGATTAGTTCTTATCAAAGGTTTATCAGTCTTCAATGAAGATTCCTTAGTTTATATTAAGAGGTTAATTAAATTTTATTTAGGTTAAATAGATTTCGGAGCCATCGAAAGAATTTAAAAGATATCGTTTTCTTAACTGCAGATATTTAGTTTTTTAATTGAATAATTATAAGGAGCTCTTTAGAACTGCTCCCCCGGCCATATTCAGAGCTATTTATTTATTTTTACAATTCCTGAGATTTAAGTATAATATAGTACCAAAACTCATTACAAAAAAAAATTGTCAAGACGACATTTTACAAATTCATTCGACGGCTCCGAAGAACTGGGTTAAACTCTAATGTATTTCTTCTACCTTGTTACAGACTGAGATCGTGTAGTCCATGACGAATGAGACGAGCGCCATAATAATCCCGAGCATAGCGAGGAACACCCAATCCTCCCCAATGCGCGCAAATGTGTGCTTCCAGATAAATGTGAGAACGCGCGCACATTCTCCTGAACCTCTGAAACAGAACCAATGTTAGTAGTATTAACATTTATTGTAAAAATAATACATTCCGAAAAATTCATTGGCGCAGAATTTCTTCTGGAAAGTTATTTAGGCTTAAATCTTCCAATCCGTGTACATCCTTGAAGTTATCTCTGGATTGTTTAGCTGATTGACACATCCTCTGACCCCAATGTAACCCATTTGCTTTTTATCAGGAATATAACTTTTTCTTTAACAGACTTTTTTCCAAAATTTTCTTCCAGTCAGCAGTCATCTTGGTTTAATTACCTAGAATTATGTAGATATTTATTTCTGTTCACACCCCCCCCCCCATTCTTCCATTGGACTAAATATAACACTTGAAAACATCCAAATGAAATTAATCAAACTTTATCATCTAGAACCTTGAATAAAATGTGGCTACTTGACGCACGTATTAGATAAGTAATTAAGAGAGCTTGAAAGGTCGTTATTTAGTTAGTTATAAAAATACAAGCCAAATCTCTGAAAGTAAATTTTACTTAATTATGACACACCCTGTCCTTTACGGTCAAGCGTGCATTATATGTGTCTGGGTATATTTTAAGGTAGCTAATTGGTGTGAAATCGTAATGAGTTTTTAAAACAAAAATAATTGTTTTCCCCATCATATCATTCAAATTTGGACAATGCGTTTTCAGAAAAAGATATTTCCTAACATTTTAAAAATCTAAAAATATATTAAGAACCTTTACTTCCAAACAGGGGGTACAAAAGGCGAAGGTGGGGGGGCTTTGGGGACTCAGGCCCCCCCCCTGGATCAGTAGAATCAATGGTTTCCTGGGGTTTTTCAGACCTCAATGAATGTCCTCCCCCCCACGTAAAATAAAATTAAACCTACCCAGGAAGAAATTACTGAGTATGCTCCTGCTTTCAAACGTATCAATTTATCTTTTCAAAGTTTATTAATCTTAATAATACTCAAACAAAATCTGATAATTTTAAGCTGAACTCGACGAGGTTCAGATAAACCTTGGCTCACCTTAGTTCTCGTTTTCAGATAAACCTTGGCTCACCTTAGTTCTCGTTTTCTCTTCCTTGTTTCTTTCTTTCTGGTTCTTTCTAGAATTCTTTGACGCTTAGCTTCTTCCCTAGAATATATCAATATTATTATTAATTATCATGAATATAATGATTATTATGATTATTATGATTATTATGATTATTATGATAATTATGATAATTATGATTATTATGATTAATATGATGATTATGATTATTGTGATTATTGTGATTATTATGATTATTATGATTATTATGATTATTATGATTATTATGATTATTATGATCATTATGATTATTATGATTATTATGATCATTATGATTATTATGATTATTATGATTATTATGATTATTATGATCATTATAATTATTATGATTATTGTGATTATTATGATTATTATGATTATGATGATCATTATGATTATTATGATTATTATGATTATGATGATCATTATGATCATTGTGATTATTATGATTATTATTATTATTTAGCGAAATAGGGCTACTCGCAACGAAATTAAAAGGAGTTAAAGTTCAACTAAAGCTAGAATAAAAGGTATAGGGGTAAAGAAAAAGTAAAACAAGCAAAGAAAGAAATATGGAGAACTAGGATTAGAGGTAGGAAATATGGAACAAGGATTAAAAGTAAGGAAATATGGAACTAGGATTAGAAGTAGGGAAATATGGAACCAGGATTAGAAGTAAGGAAATATGGAACTAGGATTAGAAGTAATGAAATATGGAGAACTAGGATTAGAAGTAAGGAAATATGGAGACCAGGATTAGAAGTAAGGAAATATGGAGAACTAGGATTAGAAGCAAGGAAATATGAAACTAAGATAAGAAGCAAGGAAATATGGAACTAGGATTAGAAGTTAGGAAATATGGAACCAGGATTAGAAGTAAGGAAATATGGAGAACTAGGATTAGAAGCAAGGAAATATGAAACTAAGATAAGAAGCTAGGAAATATGGAACTAGGATTAGAAGTAAGGAAATATGGAAGTAGGATTAGAAGTAAGGAAATATGAAACTAGGATTAGAAGCAAGGAAATATGGAACTAGGATTAGAAGTAAGAAAATATGGAACCAGGATTAGAAGTAAGGAAATATGGAACTAGGATTAGAAGTAAGAAAATATGAAACTAGGATTAGAAGTAAGAAAATATGAAACTAGGATTAGAAGTAAGGAAATATGGAACTAGGATTATCAGTAAGGAAATATGGAACTAGGATTAGAAGTAAGTAAATATGAAACTAGGATTAGAAGTAAGGAAATATGGAACTAGGATTATCAGTAAGGAAATATCAAACTAGGATAAGAAGTAAGGCAATATGGAACTAGAATTAGAAGTAAGGAAATATGGAACTAGGATTTGAAGTAAGAAAATATGAAACTAGAATTAGAAGTAAGAAAATATGGAACTAGAATTAGAAGGAAGAAAATATGAAACTAGGATCAGAAGTAAAGAAAAATATGGAACTAGGATTATCAGTAAGGAAATATCAAACAAGGATTAGAAGTAAGGAAATATGGAACAAGGATTAGAAGTAAAGAAAAATATGGAACAAGGATTAGAAGAAAATATGGAACTAGGATTAGAAGTAAGGAAATATGGACATGGATTAGAAGTAAGGAAATATGGAACTAGGTTTAGAAATAAGAAAATATCAAACTAGGATTAGAAGTAATAAAAATATAGAACTAGGATTAGAAGACAGATAGATAGATAAACAAACAGATAAATAGACAGAGAAACCGATAGACACATACACAAATAGATAAACAGAGAGACGAGACAGATAGGATATATAAACAGATAGATAAACTGACATGCAGATAGGTATACAGATGGATAGACAGATAGCTAGTCACATAGCTAGACAGATAGCTAGACAGATAGCTAGACAGATAGCTAGACATATAGCTAGACATATAGCTAGACATATAGCTAGACAGTTAGCTATTAGAACTATTAGAAAAGAAATCTGAAAAAGAGGTCCCGTTATGAACCCCCCAGACCGCCGGCAGGCATGGGAAGCACCGTCCCACACCTACTCTAACTGGACCTTTATACCCACAACAATTAGACCATTGTCAGAAGATAAAAAGGTGATACTACACAGATAGTTAGACAGATAGACAGATAGATAAACATATTCTCAAATGAACACTTCAAGAACACATTCTCAAATGAACACTTCTGGGATCTCGAAAATTATGAATGAATTTTGATTGTCAATAAAAACATTAATCAATCTAATATTATTTAGAATGCAGAAAATAAGTTAAACTAACTTCATTTTGACGAGAATTTTTTTTTGAAATTTTCATGAAAAATTTGCTGAAATGAGTGAAAATTAAAAAAAACCCGGTGTATTTCCAGGATAAAAATCCGTACAATCCGTACAATTGGAAAAAAACCGTACAATCCGTACATTCCGTACAATTTCAGGGTTACAAAATAAAAAATCCGTACAATCCGTACATTTTGGCCACCCTGGAACTAGGATTAGAAGTAAGGAAATATGGAACTAGGATTAGAAGTAAGGACATATGGAGAACAGGATTAGAAGTAATGAAATATTAAGAACAGGATTAGAAGTAGTGAAATGTGGAACTAAGATTAGAAGTGATGAAATATGGAGAACTAGGATTAGAAGTAAGGAAATATGGAACTAGGATTAGAAGTAAGGAAATATGGAACTAGGATTAGAAGTAAGGAAATATGGAGAACAGGATTAGAAACAATTGAAATATGGAGAACAGGATTAGAAGTAGTGAAATGTGGAACTAGGATTAGAAGTAATGAAATATGGAGAACTAGGATTAGAAGTAAGGAAATATGGAGACCAGGATTAGATGTAATGAAATATGGAGAACTAGGATTAGAAGTAACGAAATATGGAGAACTAGGATTAGAAGTAATGAAATATGGAGAACTAGGATTAGAAGTAATGAAATATGGAGAACTAGGATTGGAAGTAATGAAATATGGAGAACTAGGATAAGAAGTAATGAAATATGGAACTAGGATTAGAAGTAATGAAATATGGATCTAAGAACCAGGATTAGAAGTAAGGAGATATGGATCTAAGAACCAGGATTGATTTAACTCACTTTATTTGTTCTCCTAGAGCTTCACTGTATCTTCCATACATGAGGGTTTGCTGGTATCCCATAGCACTCTTCCCATCGTCCTATACAGTATTAAATCACATAAAGATTTTTAAACGATAAAGTCAAAGAACTAGTGCTTAGGATCCAGACCACGATATTTTAGCTCCCAGACAGTACAGTACATATAACAAAAACCAGTTTCTGCTTTAAATATCACATCTTAGGTGAAATAATAAGAGAAAAAATCCTGATTTCTCTAGATTCTGATTCGTATCCGAAATATTTGTTATACAAGTCAGATCCTTGGCACTGCAATGAACAAAACTGAACAACTAAATTAAACCACAATTATGATTAATCAACAGATCTGTACTTACATCATCGCTGTAGGAGGAACTAGGAACGTTTAAAGTTACGCTGCCCGGCATTTTCAGGTTCTTCGTCTAATCGTCCAGGTTAATCGTAAATCGTCCAGGTTAATCGTAAATCGTCCAGCTCAGTTCGTCTGCTTCGATTCTTTTCTCATAGTATCACAGATCACTGAGAAAAACGGAAGAAGTATTTCGCCACTTTTTTCTATCGTAGTTCGTCGTGGATTCTGCATTCGAAGGTTTCGTTTCGCTCCAGGTCCAGGATTTGGTACCCAGAGATAGGTTCTAACTATTCTCCGGGTCCTGGGTTAGCTCTCTGATCTTACTTCACAGCTATCTGTCACAATTAGCAAAATAATTATGACATAATTCAGAGACCAAAAAAATATGTTTGGTGATCTTTTTATGAAAATTCCTTTTTTTGTCAAATTTTATTCCTTAATATTTTGCTGTGGTCAATTTTCTACATTATCCTGAAAGAAAAAACAATATTGAATACGGATAAGAATAAACGATTAGCCACCCCCCCCCCCATACACTAGATTAGCCCCCATCCCCTCTTTACGCTAGATACATATGTAAACAAATGATTATGAAAGCAAACAGTAACAGAATGATCATTATTCTAAAAATTAATGATTTTTCTAGAAAGCAAGTTGTATTTAGCGAAAAAATGAAAATTGAACTGATTTGAATAATTGTAAGTGTTATGTGTGTGTAATTTTGCTAAAAATATGTTTAATCTCAAATCTATTTGAAGGAAAAAATACCCCCCGTGTCTTTTCACTTTATGCCCCCACCTAACACAATCTTATAATTTAAACAATGGGATTTCCAATGAACTCCACCACCCCGTCTCTCATCACAGACCCACACCCTCAAACATAGCTTCAGGGAAAAACTAAAATGTATCGCATGAAATATACAAATACAGTCCATGTTCAATGTTCATGCATGGCAAAATTTCTCCTAATTGGCATTTTTTCTTCATTAATGGATAAATATTTTATCAATAAAATATATTTTCTGTTGTAAAATTAATGATTAGATGTCGGTTTATTTCTACGATTAAACAAATTAAAACAATTATTATCTCATCAATTATATCAATATGATCGTTAAATAAATATGATCAATTTAATCAGTATGATCAATTTAATCAGGATGATCAACGTAATAAATCAAATCGATATGATCCAAATTTTTGATTTTTTTACTTTAAAATGACATATGTTAAAAACCCCGAGGGAATTTGTAATCAGTCAACACTTCAGCCTGTGCCACTGTCAGATGTATTTAAACAATGTCAAATAGTGACAATCCTTGGAATTCGACTAATTTCAAAGATGAACTTGAAAACTATTCTCTTCAGCTCCTTTTTAAACCTCTAGGTGAATATTCTTAAGAAAACTATTCCCTTCAGCTCCTTTTTAAACCTCTAGGTTAATATTTTTAAGAAAACTATTCTCTTCAGCTCCTGTTTAAACCTCTAGGTGAATATTCTTAAGAAAACTATTCTCTTCAGCTCCTTTTTAAACCTCTAGGTTAATATTCTTAATAAAAATACCCTGTACAGCTCCTGTTTAAACCTCTAGGTTAATATTCTTAAGAAAACTATCCTGTACAGCTCCTTTTTAAACCTCTAGGTGAATATTCTTAAGAAAACTATTCTCTTCAGCTCCTGTTTAAACCTCTAGGTTAATATTCTTAAGAAAACTATTCTCTTCAGCTCCTGTTTAAACCTCTTAGGTGAATATTCTTAAGAAAACTATCCTGTACAGCTCCTTTTTAAACCTCTAGGTGAATATTCTTAAGAAAACTATTCTCTTCAGCTCCTTGTTAAACCTCTAGGTGAATATTTTTAAGAAAACTATTCTCTTCAGCGCCTTTTTAAACCTCTAGGTGAATATTCTTAAGAAAACCTTATTTTTAATCATTTTCTCAAACCAAGGTCACCCCAAAAGACGAGACTTCAGAGACGACTGTACGGAATTTATAATTTATTTTTTCTTTCTTTGTCAATCGATTTTATAAATCATTAGAATCATATTTTAAGATTTTCCGGTCGTCTTTACAAGCTCATTCTTTGTGTGAACTCTGCATTTTATAAACGGGTTGCATTGTAAAATCAAGTAATTTCCATATATTAGACATGCCTTTCTTTTCTAGGAAATTATTTGGCAAATTTTTTTTCATCCTGTTGGAAATATTTTGGGATCTAATGAGTTTTTCATTCAAAGCCACCTGAGGAAAAAGATCATTTCAGCAAAAAATAATTTCAAAAAGATATAAATACAAACTTTGAAAATTAACTTTTGTGTTTAAGTTGATCTTAATTCTCAACATATTTTCATTGATATTTTTGTTACTTAATTAAAATCATTTTATCAATTTTTTTTTATAAAAACAAACTATATAGAAGTAAATAGTTTGATAAGCTCCATTCGTTCATAATATTTAATACATAAATAACCGAAACCTTGCCAAATGATAAAATATTTACTTTGATACAGGATTTAATATTTACTCACTAGCAAAGAATTCAACAACGTTTAAAAGCTGTTAAGGGACTGCACGTTGCATTTTCAAGTGACCCTCCATACTACAATACTAAATTATACTACATTTATGTGAACAATAATTTAAGATATCGTCGGTTTTCTAGCTTATAAAGAGTTTAATTCTCACATTTTCCTACCCAAATCAAAACAATCAATTTTTCATGCTTGATTAGACAACGCTTTTAATCCCGTTGTGCATGGAACATTTCACTCTTCTATAAATGGAGGGCCACTTGAACCTGCGTCTACAATCCCGTTGTGCAGTGAACATGTCACTCTTCTATAAATGGAGGGCAACTTGAACCTACGTCTACAATCCCGTTGTGCAGTGAACATGTCACTCTTCTATAAATGGAGGGCAATTTGAACCTACGTCAACAATCCCGTTGTGCATGGGACATGTAGCTGTTCTATAAATGGAGGGCAACTTGAACTTACGTCTACAATCCCTTTGTGCATGGGGCATGTAGCTGTTCTATAAATGGAGGGCAACTTGAACCTACGTATACAATCCCGTTGTGCATGGGACATGTAGCTGTTCTATAAATGGAGGGCAACTTGAACCTACGTCTACAATCNACTAGATAGAAGATTATATAGTAGTTACTAGATAGAAGATTATATAGTAGTTACTAGATAGAAGATTATATAGTAGTTACTAGATAGAAGATTATATAGTAGTTACTAGATAGAAGATTATATAGTAGTTACTAGATAGAAGATTATATAGTAGTTACTAGATAGAAGATTATATAGTAGTTACTAGATAGAAGATTATATAGTAGTTACTAGATAGAAGATTATATAGTAGTTACTAGATAGAAGATTATATAGTAGTTACTAGATAGAAGATTATATAGTAGTTACTAGATAGAAGATTATATAGTAGTTACTAGATAGAAGATTATGGAGTAGTTTGATGATTATAAATTGAAGTTCTCGTGTAAAGATTAGAATTTGACAAAGTGGTCAAGTGTTTAAGGCTAAATCTTATGTAATACAAGTTAATAAATAGGGCGGTTTATAAAAAATATAACCTTTAACATGCATTAATATAAACGGCCATTTTACTTTGAGATATTGGATAATAATTTTTTTGTATCAGTTAAAAAAGAAAGGGGTTTAACTAGGGGATAAAACTCGATGGTTTGTTTTGTATTAAAAACATTTTTTAAGTGAAGAATTATTTTTAAAACATTTTATTTGGCAGTGTGATAGATAAGGGGTTTCCAGAATTCTTTAATTCATGAATATAGTTATTTAATCAAACAAATTCAATATAATTCAGCATATTTAGCATAAAACAATATTTAGGCGTATTCTATAATTCGAGTATTTTACAGTGTATACAAAGAGAACATGTTCACAATTGAAATAGAGGATGGATGAAAAAGGCCCTAAAGCCGATCCGGCATAAATTTTGTTTGGGACCACACATGACCCCACCCCAGGGAAGGTTTATGGATGATCAAAATTTCAAAAATCAGCCTCCAACAAAGTTCGATTTTCATTAAATTATAAAAATCCACGAACTTTATTTTGTTAATTTTTGAAATGTATACAAAGAGAAAATTATCCCAATTGAAATAGAAGATGGGCGTGCAGTGGCCTGAAAGCCTAGTTCATAAATATTTCACTGGCACTTATTCTGTTTTGATAAAAGTTTTCATTGATTAAAATACAAATATTTGTATAATGAGGGGAGCGTGGACTATCATAAACTATTGGATCAACCTGAGAATAACACTTAAACTCGTGATTAGGATTAAATGAGCAGATTAAACAAATACTTCTAACAATAAAGAATGGAAATGACACGCTTTAGGGTAGAACAAACTTTTTCTCTGTAAAGAGACTTACGATGATATTTCAAGTGACCCTCAATTCCAATTCACAAAAGCACTCTTTGTCGAATTCATAATAAAGAATAAATTGTCGCTTTTATTTTTCGAAAAATATAAAATTTACTTAATTTTCAAAATTTCCTCAGCTGCACATACATCAACAGGTCATTTAAAATTTTTCAGATAGAAAAACAGGGAAAACTTCATCTTTTTAGGTTTAATTTGACGGGTACCCTTGTGAATCAGGTTTAATTTGACGAGTACCCTTGTGAATCAGGTTTAATTTGACGGACACCCTTGTGAATCAGGTTTAATTTGACGGGTACCCTTGTGAATCAGGTTTAATTTGGCGTGACGAGTACCCTTGTGAATCAGGTTTAATTTGACGGACACCCTTGTGAATAAGGTTTAATTTGACGGGTACCCTTGTGAATCAGGTTTAATTTGGCGGACACCCTTGTGAATCAGGTTTAATTTGACGGACACCCTTGTAAATCAGGTTTATTATGACGAGTACCCTTGTGAATCAGGTTTAATTTGACGGGTACCCTTATGAATCAGGTTTAATTTGACGGGTACCCTTGTGAATCAGGTTTAATTTGACGGGTACCCTTGTGAATCAGGATTAATTTGACGGGTACCCTTGTGAATCAGGTTTAATTTGAAAGGTACCCTTATGAATCAGGTTTAATTTGACGGGTACCCTTATGAATCAGGTTTAATTTGACGGGTACCCTTGTGAATCAGGTTTAATTTGACGAGTACCCTTGTGAATCAAGTTTAATTTGACGGACAGCCTTGTGAACCAGATTTAATTTGACGGGTACCCTTGAGAATCAGGTTTAATTTGACGGACACCCTTGTGTATCAGGTTTAATTTGACGGACAGCCATGTGAATCAGGTTTAATTTGACGAGTACCCTTGTAAATCAGGTTTAGTTTGACGAGTACCCTTGTGAATCAGGTTTAATTTGACGGGTACCCTTGTGAATCAGGTTTAATTTGACGGATACCCTTGTGAATCGA